GTCTGAGTGACACAGGAAGAAGGTCCAGAAGGGCACATGTGCCTGGGTGGCGGGTCCTTCAGATGCTGGGCCACTTCTCAGCTTGGCCTGGCCCCAGGGCCTCAGATCCTGCAGATGTCACCACAAGTTCTCCGAGCACCTTCCCAAGCAGCTCTAAGTCTGGGGACCAGCAGGGATTGCTCACCACCAGAACCCAGCAGCGTAGGGAGCTGGTCCGCCAGTCCTGAGCTGGACCCCGCCCTAACCATGTTCCTCAATAATAATGACCGTAACCACAACGATAATAGTAGTACTAGCCCTTTATTAAGGGCTAAATGCTTTGTACCCTGTACCCTGTCTAAATGCTTTGAACATTTGATCTCCTTTGAGCCTGGCAGCACCCAAGGAGGTATGCTCTATTACTATTCTTCCCATTGTACAGATGTGGAGACTGAGGCTCACAGAGGTTGTGACTTGACTGAGGCGCCATAGCTGCCACAGGAGGAAGCTTTGAGGTGAAAGCTATCTGTAGTCTTTGAGCGGGTGTGAAACCCTGAAATGGTACCAAAGAACAGGACAGGTGGGGAAGGAATTAGGACCTCAGCACTGCCAGGAGGAGCAGGAAGTCATGGCAGGGCCACTGCAAATGACCCAAATAACCACCACGAAGGAATTTAGGGAAGCGGCAGAGCAGGTGTGGTTAGACCAGTGGTTCCCAACGTGGGGCACATGCCCCACAGGGGGGCAATTTGATTTTTAAGGGGGGCAATTTGATTTAGGGGGGCAATTAAAGAATGAGTTATTAACAGTGAATTTTTTGCATTTCTTATGGTTCTAAGAGCCTCATATACAGTATATAAATATATATTGTGACATATTGATGCATTTCAGTTTTCTATTATGTTTTAAAACTTTATTTGCTATTTTTATGTCACTTCATATTATTATTATTTTAACAATTTCTTAGTCCTTCAACTGTCCTTTCATTCTTTTATTTTTCTCTTTCTTGGATGCCATGTTTAGACCAAGTTAGTGGCCTTTAGGCTTCCTCCATGTGAAAAGGAGTTCACTTTTTAAAAAAATATATACCTTTATTGATTTCAGAGAGGAAGGGAGAGGGAAAGAGAGATGGAAACATCAATGATAAGAGAGAATCATTGATTGGCTGCCTCCTGTACGCCCCCTACTGGGGATCGAGCCCACAACCTGGGCATGTGCCCTTGACTGGAATCAAACCCGGGACCCTTCAGTCCACAGGCTGACGCTCTGTCCACTGAGCCAAACCAACTACGGTTGGAGTTCACTTTTTGAATAATAAGACGTATATGTCACAGGAGGGCATCAGGATTTTAGAGATGCGCTTAGGTGGGGCAGGGCCAAAAAAAAAGGTTGGGAACCACTGGGTTAGGGCCTTGGGAGACAGGCATGCAACTCCCAGCCTCCCCAAGTGTGGCCTCAAGGCGAGTGACTTCTCTGGCCATAAGCCTCAGTCTTACCCATCTGGAGAATGGGTATAAGTGGGACCAACCTCACCAAGCAGTTATGAAGATTCCAGGGAAATCAGGCATATGCATTTGTCGAAAATCAGTGAATGACACTGAAGATGTGTGCATTTTGTTGTATGTAAATTTTACCTAAAAAGAAGAAAAGGGCTGCGAACAAACATTAAAATCTGATTAGTAAATGCACATTGAAGTGTTTAGAGGGAAAGTGCACTGATATCCACAACGTACTTTGTCATTGTTCAAATAAAGGAAGGTGAGCCCTGGCCGGTTTTCTCAGTGGTTAGAGCTCAGCCCACACACACCAAATGGTCGTGGGTTCGATTCCCGGTCAAGGGCAGGAACCTGGGTTGCAGTTTCAATCCTGTTCAGGAGGCAACCAATTGATGTCTTTATCTCTCTCTGTTTCTCTCTCTCCCCCTCTCTTCCTCCCTCCCTCTTTTACACTCTCTCCAAAATCAATAGAAAAAATATTTTCGGGGAGCAGAAAAAAAAAGAAAAGAAAAAATATTATCGGGTGAGGATTAACAAAAACATTAACAACAACAACAAAGGTGAATGGATGGATGGTTAGAGAGATAAATAAATGGATAAAAGTATGGTAGATAATTGTAGACTCTAGGTGCTGGGTATATGGATTAGCTGTAAAATATTCTTTTATTTTTAAAACAGATTTTTTTTTTTATTCCTCACCTGAGGATATTTTTCCACTGATTTTTAGAGAGAGTGGAAGAGAGAGGAAAAGACAGAGAGAAATATCCATGTGAGAGAAACACACAGATTGGTTGCCTCCTGCACGAACCCTGACCAGGGCCCCGGGCGGGGAGGAGCCTGCAACCGAGGTAAATGCCCTTGACCCGAATCCAACCTGCGACCCTTCGGTTCACAGGCAACGCTCTATCCACTGAGCCAAACCAGCTAGGGCTATTTTTTTTTCAAATCCTCATCTATGTTTTTATTGATTTGAAAGAGAGGAAAGGAGAGAGAGAGAAACATCGATCTGTTCCCTCTGTAGGTACCCAGAAGGGGGGGGGGATTGAACCCGCCACCTTTTGGTGTTTCGGAGGATGATCCAAGCAACTGAGTCACACTGGCCAGGCCTGAGAATTTTCAAATTAAAATATGGGAGGAGCCCTGGCCGGCTTGGCTCAGTGGATAGAGCGTCGGCCTGTGGACTGAAGGGTCCCGGGTTCGATTCCGGTCAAAGGCATGTACTTTGGTTG